GGAGCAGGGAGACCCTGACAAGAGTGTTGGGAGGTGCTGGGGACCCTGTTTCCCCACTCCCGGCTCCTCCAGGGCTAGGGTACTGTTATTGCAGATGTAGGCGTGGATGGCACAGTAATGATACCCCCTGCCCATCTTTGCTCCCAGCTGGCACACTGTTTCTGCCTTCCTTCCTGCCCACTCCTAGGTCCCTCCTAACTCTGCCTGCTCCCCCCACCTGCCCCCCCCCATGTCTCAGAGGTCAGCTTCAGCTGTTTTTGGTTATATCTCATCCTAGGCTGAGAGTGCTTATTCCTGGGGTGATGTGGCTTGACTTCTGCCCTTGTGCCCACAGCCATCTCAGGATCCAGGGTGCCAGCTTCTCTAGCCCCTGTAGGTGTTCCAGGCCTCAGCTTTGACTTCCTATCATTCATTAATTTCTTAAGGATGTTATTGGTCAGAGCTGAGGGAAAGACTGAAGCTAGGAAGGGACAGTGACTTGTGCAGTATCACACTGAGCCAGAGTTGTAGCTTGGACTGGTGCCGTGTTGGTCCTGGCCTCCTGCTTTGTTGCTTGCTTGACTCAGTCTGAACTCAGGGACACACTCCAGCACTATCTGTCTTACCCGTGAGCCTGCAGGTGCAGGTGGCTCAGTCCTTAGACTTCAACTTGTTTGGAGGTTGAATAGGGAGTCTGGCTCTTTGGTGCTGGGCACAATCTGGAATGGGACACCTGCCACTGCCACTTAGTTCAATCCATGCTGTTGGCAGCCTCTCACCTGCCCAGGCTGGCATTGCCTAGGATGGGGAAAACAGGCCAAGAACACTGCCACCTGCCCCCAGTACCTCTGCCCTAGGCACACAAGGGCCTGGGTATCTGTGGGGGGAGGGTGGGAAGTGCTGCTGGGGAGGGCTAAGTTCTGTGGGTTTGGGGAGGGTTTGTGATAGATTTTGGTCTTCTCTAAACAGCTGGTAACCCATGTCTCATTGCCCATACTCCCCTTCCCCAGCCATGCAGCAAGTCTTGGACAACCTGGGATCTCTCCCCCATGCCACAGGGGCTGCAGAGCTGGACCTGATTTTTCTTCGAGGCATTATGGAAAGCCCCATAGTCAGATCCTTGGCCAAGGTATGGTGTACCAGGGAGGTGGGTGCTGTGCCTGGGGAGCCTCAGGGGACTCTGAGAGTGGGGCATGTAGCACAAGAAGCCAGATGAAGGGGTTTATGCCCAGGTGATGAATCCGAGGTTGCAGGTAGAGGGGCGGCCCCTGCACCTGCTTGGTGAGTGGTGGCAGAGGGTCTGATTGAAAGAAGAGCATGCCTGTACCCTGAAATATCCAGATTGGTTCTGCCCACTTCTCTGCCTTTGGATGTTTGTGCAGGTGTGTCAGGTGGGAGGCAGACTGTTAAAGAGAAAATGATGGGAATTTGGTAGCAGCAGTGCAGGGGCAGATGCGGAGCACAGAGGGCAAGTGCCTAACACAGCCTGAGAGGGCAGAGGAGGCCTCCTGGAGAAAGGATCAAGCTGAGTGTGGAGGATAGAGAGGAGGGGCAGGCATCTTGGCCAGGGGAAGAGCTGGGGCAGAAACAGCAAAGCAAGGAGTTGGAAGTGTGAGACTGGAGCATCAGGTGTGAGACAAGGGGTGAGCTGTGGAGGTGCTGGCAGGTTGTGGAGGGCACTGGGGGCCATGCCTGGGTGTTCTAATATTGTCCCTCAAGCATCAAGGAAGCACTGTACATTTTAGGCAGGGAGGGACAGAGAGAAAGATATTTAGGAACATCCTACTGGAGGTCATATAGAGGGTCACAGGAGGGGTTTCCGAGATCAGTTAAGGGCTAAGAGCCACCTGGAACTGAGATGATGGGGCTCAGGTAAACAGGTAGAACCTGGTGTTTGGGACCCTCCAGGGGCTCCACCCTAGGGAAGTGAGGCTGGTGCATAGAGTGAACCGGACAGTAGGGAGGGCGCCCCCCTCCTATGGGGAAGGAGGTGATTCTAGGCTGGGCTGGAGGCAAGACTTGGCATGGGAGGAAATCAGACTAATTGCTGGGAAATCTCAGTGAGGGCAGGCAGTCCTCTCTTAGGATTTAGGAGTTATGGGTTGAGCAGGGGTCAGAAATGAAGTTTGGCTAGTCACTGGAGGGGAGAGGGAATCTAGTGAACTGAGACCCAGACAGTCCATGGCAGGCACCGATTTCCCAGGGTGGAGTCACTCAGTCCCCAAGCAAAGAGGAAGAAGAAGGTGGCTTTGATCCAGACCCCAGATGTGGGAGAAACTATGAAGGAAGTCTGAGACTGGCTGGGATAGTGTCATCTCTGGGCCTCAGGCTGGGAGGAAGCAGGGGGGCAGGTGGGGATGCGGGTGAAGTTTGGGGCTATCTCGGAGGTTGCAAGGTACAGGTGGGGTATAGGGATGGAAGAGAAGGCCAAAGTCAGAGAGAGGGAGGTAGGAAGTAAAATATTTTCTATGGGGACAGTTCTGGGGGTTGGCATGATCACACAGGGTGTGTCTACTGTGGATGGGTTGGTTGGTCAGGGGTGTTAAAGAGATCCTGGAAGGGAAGTCTGCAGTGTGGGTAGGCATGGCTACATGGACCTGGGACTCTGAGGGGATGGCAGGTGATGTGGCAGGCAGTACAGCCAGGTGGTGACTTTTCTCTTTTCTTACTTTGTGTGTGTGTGTGTGTGTGTGTGTGTGTGTGTGTGTGTGTATGGTTCTTGGACAACATCTCTGATGGAACCTGACCTCACCAATTACATAGACTGATTTCCCAGGAAGCCGCAGGAACCCTACTGTTTCCACCTCCCCAGTGATGGGATTATAGGCAAGTTGCCTGGCTTTTATGTGGGTGCTGGGGATCCAAACTCAGGTCCTTATGCTTGTACAGCAAGTACTTTACCAATAAAGCCACCTCCCTAGCCCTGGTGGTTGGGTTTTCTATAGGGCCCAGTGGGGACTCTGTGTCATAGGATGATTGTAGCCTTGGTGTGGGGTGTGAAGGAGATATAGGCCCTGCTGGAAGAGAGAACTGCTGCAGGGAATGCATTCCATGTTATTGTTATTGATGAGGAATTGGAGAGGTTAAGAGCAGATAATCCAGGCACTGGAGAGATGGCTCATAGATTAAGAGCATAGGATGCTTTTACGGACGTTTAGTTCCTAGCACCCACATGATGGCTAACACTGGTCTGTAACTCCAGTTCCAGGGAATCTGATGCCCTCTTCTAGCTTCCACAGGTATTGCATGCACATAGTACACTTACATACATTCAGTCAAAACACTCATACACGTTAAAGAAAAGCGTAGATAATTGAGGTGTGGTGGTGTAGTTGGGAAGCTGAGGCAAGCAGTATGTAAATTTGATGATAGCCTGGGCCACATAGCAAGACCGTATTTCAAAGAACTAAAGAAGAGCCAAGTGTGACAGCACATGCCTGTAACCCCAGTGGAGGCTGGAGGATCAGGGGTTCAAAGCCAGCCTAGCTAATGGAGAGGTTGAGGCCAGCCTGGGCAGCATGAATTACTGTCTCAAGAAACCACAAAAACAAAACAAAGCAAACAAAAACACCGAAGTAAAGAATAAGCAGCACAGAAAAAGAGCAGATGATTAAAAAGCCTGAGGGTGAATAATGAGAAATTCTGGAGAAAACAGACCATTGGCGGGCACAAGAGAAGGGCAGTTGCTTTTTACCTTCGATCACCTTTGGGTATTGAAGATTACACTTATTAAAATTAAAAGCAAGAAGCTGGGTCTGTGCCTATAGTCCTACCTACTTTGGAGACTGAGTCTAATTGCTTGAGTCCAGGTCAGGACTAGCCTGGGCAACATAGTGAGAAGAAGAAGAAGAAGAAAAGTGTGAGGAATTATTCTTGTTCCAAACATTGAGAGTGTAAGACTTCATGAGGACAGGAAAGTTTGTCTACTTGAGTGACCACTGTGTCTCCAGAGGCCTCCCAAAACAGTGCTTGGCACATAGTCGGTAGTTACTAAACATTTGTTGAATGGATAAATACAAAAGATTGAAGAAGCCAGGTGTGGTGGCGCACGCCTTTGATCCCAGCAGAGGCAGGCAGATCTCTGTGAGTTCAAGGCCAGCCTGGTCTACATAGTGAGTTCCAGGCCAGCTGGGGCTACAGGGAGACCCTGCCTCAACTCCCCCATCCCCCCAAAAAAAGATAGCATAACCATTCCCTGAGCACCTATTTCCATTGTGTTAATACTGGCCGTGCTTGTTTTGACCTTTACTCTTTATTTTTAAAGACCTTTTCAATAAAATATTTTATTTGTATTTATGTCTATGTGTGTTTGTGTGAGTGTATGCTACATGTGTGAGGGTGCCTGGGGAAGCCAGAAAGGGCATTGGGATTCCCTGGATCTGGTGTTATAGGCAGCTGTGAGCCACCTGATGTGGGTGCTGGGAACTAAACTTGGGTCCTCTGGAAGAACAAGAAGCACTCTTAACTGTCAAATCAGCTCTCCAGCCATTAGTCTTTCTTCTTAAGAAATAAAAAATACATATGATGTAGTTTACTTCTTCCTCATTTCTACAGCTTTTCCTCCCTAAAGGTAAACACTGGCTAGAGGCTGGTGACGTCATTTCTCTGAATGCTTGGTATTCTTGCCCATATATATATATATGTTTTGCCATAAGTAACGTGTCCTTGTTATACATGCCTTATTATACATGCCATAAATGGAATGACTGCTTCTGTTTTTGAGACTTCTAGTTCATATAGGGAATAAAGTTATTGATCTAAGTATAAATAAAGATAGATTCATTTGAACTGTTGTATGCTAATTCTAATATGCATAGAGCCCAGAGTCTGTTGGCTCCCCTACTGAGAGGTAGGGTGATAGTGCTGATTTTCTTCTATTAAGGATGGTGCTGTTGTGAGCATTCTTGTGTCCATCTGTTCCTGCACATGTGTGAAGGTTTCTGTAGGGTGGACTTGGCATTGGAAATGCTGAATGCATGAATTTTTGATCTTCAACACCTGTAACCTTCCAAGCTAAGTTGGGAGTTGTATGTGTTAGATCACATCATCTGTGGGTCACAGGGTCAGGGCCAGTGCAGGGTCAGGGCCAGTGGTACTCTAATCAGCTCTCTTCAAAGTGCTCCCCCTTAGGAACACTCCTTCCTTTGTGGCCTTGTCCAAGCTACTTATGTCCAAAGAGGGATTGCTGGCTGTTGGCTCTGTCATTCACTCACTCATTAATTAATTAATTCATTCTTCCACTTACCTATTCAACAATATCTGTTGCACACCCACCATGCACCAGGTTCAGCACCAGGATTACAGCTTATAAGAACTGCAGATAGTTTGTTTTTCTGGTGGCACCCGGGTCTTACTTCCTCTCACTGGATCCCACAATGCCTCAATCCTGGAACCTCACAGTACAGTCTCCTTGACAAGTTACTTCTGTGCTGTATCAGACTATAAGTAAAGTCCTTTGTTTAGAAATGTTTGATATATAAGATTTTCCTTCCAGGAAATTCTGGGTATGGTTTCAAATGCATAGAACTCAACAGAAGGTAGTGAGGATATTTCTTCAACTCTAACCCCTGCCACCTTGCCCCAAGAGATCAGTGTACTAAGGGCATCCAGGCACTTCTTCCCCCTTCTGGTTGTGAAACAAATTGGAAGGAATCCCCCAGAAGGCCTTTCAGAGTCATAAATCCCTCTTGCCTCTGTATGGGTGACCTTTTGCCATGGAACTTGGCTACCCATCAAAAGACAAGACAGTTTCTCTCTCCACTCTTCAACATGAACTTGCTTTGGACAATGGGGCCTACTTCTTATCAGTTTTGATGATTATGTAGCATAGATGAATTTCTAAACTAACAGACAAAACACTGATAAAAAATCCAGCTATCCAGCTGTAAAACTTGGTTTCCCTAGAGAAATGGCCAAGACCTCCGCAGGAATGGAGTCAGATTGAACTGTTTGTGGTAGTTGTTAACTGCTGCCTTCCTGTGCCCTTGTGGAGTTAGACTTGATTCTTCTTTCTGGGGACATGGAAGGCATGTGGGAATGGCTGATCTGGAGAAGAACGGTGTTTGAGGGGGCAAACCCAAAGAATTAAAGGTTCTGAGGACAGGTCAAACCTGATAGGCAGCTCATAGA